GGTGCTGGAGCCGGACCTAGCCTTCTTCGGGGCTTGTTTACCGCTTTCCGAGGAGGGCTTAACGGAGCTTTAATTGTTAAGTGGCCAGAGCCGCTTTAACACTCAGTCACTTAGTAAAGAAGTTGGGTCTGCATACCAGCAATACTGTATCTGTCGAGGAGCAATCATAGAATGGTTTGAGTTGAAGGGACCATAACCTTCATGTAGTTCAACCCCCCTGCTATGGGCAGGGACACCTTCTACCACATCAGGTTGCTCAAAGCCCTGTCCAGCCTGGTCTTGAACACTTCCAGGGAGGGGGCAGCTACAGCTTCTCTGGGCAACCTGTGCCAGGGCCTTGCCACCCTCATCATAAAAAATCTGTCTTATGTCTAATCTAAATCTAGCCTCTTTCAGTTTAAAGCCATTATCCCTTGTCCTGTCACTGGATGCACTTGTAAAAAGTCCTGCTCCAGCTTTCTTGAAGCTCCCTTTCAGGTACTGGAAGGTGGCTGTGAGGTCTCCCTGCAGCTGTCTCTTCTCCAGGCTGAACAGCCCCAACTTGCTCAGCCTCTCCTCACAGGAGAGGTGCTCCAGCCCTCTGATCATTTTTGTGGCCCTTCTCTGGACCCACTCCAACAGGTCCATGTCTTTCCTGTGCTGGGGGCTCCAGAGCTGGATGCAGGACTCCAGGTGGGGCCTGATGCTGGCTTCAGGGTTACTTGTGCTTCCAAATAGAAGTACATGATCATTTTCAAAAGCAAGCAAACCTTTTGCTTGTTCATGCATAATAGGAAGAGTATGTTGTAGATGGATGAATAAGTGGAAATATTCTGTGGAATACTGTATTTGCATATAGAATTGGTTAACATAGCATGGTTGTTCATGTGGTGGTAGCGGAACTTGTAGTGGAGTCTCTAGTGCTTTCTGTTAATTAGGAAGCATTGCTTGACACAAAGCTATTTAATGCTGTAGTCATTTTGGTGATAACAAATTCTTTCTGTTAAAGGGTGATGGACCAGTAAAAGTTACTGGAAAAATCAGTGGCTTGGCTGATGGAGATCATGGCTTCCATGTCCATGAATTTGGGGACAATACAAATGGTAAGATCTCCATCCAAGCTTTTGAGTTACATCTGTAATGTAATTGCTTAGCTATAAAGAGCTTCTTTTAGTGTTGCAGCAGCAACTAGTAGCAGTCTACTTAGTAGGTCTCAATTCTGTTTCAAGAAATGATGACATTTCTTAAGGAATTACTTGCCATTTAATACTTGCAACATGTTTAGATCTGACATAACAATCACTAACCTAAATACTTTGATAACCTAGTGTTAAGAAATAAGAAAGCTTTCAACTGAGCCCAGAGTGTTCTAGAATGAGTAACCTTACTTTATTGAACTTGTAAATCTGTAGTAGGTTGGTTTCCTCTAAAGGGTTAGTAGAACATCTAACAGGAGAGTAACTATTTCATCAGTAATGACTTTAGTTCCTCTGGCTATAGTGCTACCTTGGTGTGCTGTATAAGCAACAGATTTGAAGTGACTACTGCAAAAAAATCTGCTGTTGATGGCTGTGTTGTGTTTCAGGCTGTACCAGTGCAGGTTCTCACTTCAATCCTGAAGGCAAGCAGCATGGTGGACCACGTGATGCAGAAAGGTGAGTTTAATGTGCCCGGCCTCTTACTGGGTACCTACGCAATGCAGCAGCCATCTGAGTGCTGCTTTGTGCTTGGGAGGCCACTGCATGAGTAATGCTAGGACAATACCAGAAGAAAATTGGTACTTCCACCAGGACTTCTAGGGTCACTTAAAGACTCTGATAACCATTCAGTGATTTGTTAGACACTTAGCTCTAAGACTGCAGGTAAAGTGTAGTCTTTGGGACATATTCTTGATTTTATTGTAGCTTGGGGAGAAGAGGAAATAAAGGCTCTTACAGAGTGAAGGTTCCTCAGGGGGTGAGTGGAGGGAGTTCATGTGTTAAAGCTGGTTTTGATTAGTGGTGATTTGCTTCTGTCAGGGCCAGCTTTTGACAAGAGTGGCCCTAAACTGTCAATTGTTGAGCTGCATGCAGGCTCCTGTGATGGATCAGGGCCATCAATGGAAGGCCCTGAGGCTTCAAGGGAGACAGCACAATGAATACAAAGCTCTGAGTGCCCAGGCATGGTGGCTGTTTATGGGATGCGCTGGGCTGTTCTGGGCCTGTTAGCTTAGGTGCAGTACTCCCTGCAGTATGTATTCCTCAGGGGTTGCGTGCTGTGTGTAAGTACAGGGTCTGATGCTTATGCTAATACCTCTGTACCTCAGTGGGAGCTGAGATCTAGTTCGGCCCCTGGAAGCAGTTTTCATAGTCCAGTTACCTTCAGGGAACCCTTGCACGTTTGAGACCTGATGTCTGAGCAGCTGGTTTAAATAGTATGCTGGCTGGGACTGGAGACTGGGAGGGGGCTGCGCAAGAGCTGAAGGCCAGTGTGGTAGTGAGTGGAGCTAGGAGCAGCTGTAAGGCTGGTCTTGCACAGGTAGGGTCTGGACTGGCATTGGGGCCAACTTGGTGTTGTGATGAGCCTTTGAATGCTTACATTTATGTCCATAACTGCACCTTCTGTGACTGATAAATTCATACCTGAGTGATCAGTGGCATGCCAGACCAAGCAAGCTGGCTGCTAGCCAGCTGTCTGGATGACAGAGCAGCATGAAATGGTGTGCTCCCGGGCTGCATGGGCAGCCAACTGCTCCAGTGCTAAAGGTCAAAACTGCATGAACATCATGGTTTCTGCTGGTTCTGTTTTGTCAAATCCTGCTTCTGGTGTAACCTGCCTGCTCAGGCAGCTGTAGGCTGGGGAATTCCTTAGGAGGGTATGAAAACTAGATCATGTTTTTTTCAGGGTAGAGTTGAAACAATTGGACTGAAGCTTTCCAGAAGCTTGAATCAAGCAAATTCCTAAAGGGAAAAACGCCCTTGACTTGATTTTTGTAGGACTTGGTTAAAAGTATGAGATTTGTGCTATGCTGTCTAAGAAGTTGGTAGTCAGCATCCAGTGAGCTAAGCTGGTCACCGTGCACGCATGGAGAGTTAGAAAAAAGCTACTATTCCAGGTTCTAAGTCTGCATGGAAGAGTCTTGCAGAGCATTGCCAGCTTGGTTTTTTGAGTGATTTAAGGCAGATGTGTAAGAAACAACATGCTGAAATGTCCAGAAGTTCAGTGAAAACTGAACTGCTTGAGGCTTAAGGGAAGCCCTAGTGGAGATCTGGCTCTGATAAAAACTGCGGTAGGGTGCAATGCCAGGTGCATGGGAAGATGCCAGGCAAACTCAGTCATCCCTGGTACTGATTAGAACTTAGCTAGCACTTAATGCATTCCCTTTGACCTGTCACTTGACAAACTGCTTTTACTAATCCTGTTTAAACCTAAAGCCTGCAGCTGCTCGTGGAATAGCTGATTTATGATAAATGTTAAAAGCTTGTAAGAATAGTGGCGGTGTTTACACCAAATCTTTCATGTGCAGGAAATGCTATTTCACCTAATTGGAGAGACTTTGAGCAGAGGGAGATGCCATCAGTATGGAGGAATTCTTGGCTGAGCTGCGTGCTGTTGGCCTGGCTTGTTAGGGAGTGGTGGCATTCTTTTCCCCAATGTTGACTAACCTTCCAGTTTAAGTTCTACCTAGGACTGAATTTTAAACATCCCTTGAACTAAAGGAGTTAAAATAGTGGAAGTGTTCAAGATTGACTGGTGGTGGTAAATGAAGACATGTGCTGTTTAAGATAAGATGGGAGAGTACCTGAGTGTAGTAACTATGGGTATTGTATTGTCCAGGCCATCACACAGAGGAGCTTTCAATGCAACCAAGTTTTCTATGAGTTTCTCTACATCTTTGTGTAGGCACGTGGGAGACCTTGGCAATGTGACTGCTAAAGGAGGAGTGGCAGATGTGAACATAGAAGATGCCATAATTTCTCTTAGCGGACCACATTGCATCATCGGACGTACCATGGTGGTAAGTGTGTTGTTGCCTACTTGGATGCTTCAGGGAACTCTAGAGCAGTCCTGCCAGCGAGCGGAGACTTTTTGGTGCTGGAGGCCAGTCCGTGGTGTTTGTTATAGAACTGGTAGTGCAAGATTTCCAATGCGGGGAGCTCTTTGAAGCCCTGCCCGGAATTCCTCTGTGTTCTCATGGCCGTGAAGTGCCATGCTATCTTTGCTATCTGCCTGTCTTCTGGAGATGCTCCTCTCCATTTAACTTTGCCTCTTCCAGCTGAGAGTGACTAAAGCAACCAGGTTTGAGGAAGGAGCTGGTGGTCTGGCACAAATGCTGTCACTGGAAGGTGTGGCAGTGGGCACTCTGGGACACTGTTCACTGGTACTGGTCTGGTAGCCGCTGGTGTAACTTGTGCCATGGCATCCCAGGGAAGGAGTGGGGAAAAGGCTGAGCGGGCTCAGCTGCAGGTGAGCCCTGTCAGTCTCGCTTCCCCTGGGACTCCAGTGTGTGCGGAGCGCGCTGTGCTCCTCCTGCGTGCACCAGGCATGGGCTGACGGCTGTGGAGCAGGGGGGCTTGTAGGGTAGCACTTTAGGTGGGGTGGCCAAGGCACTGCGTCCCCGCAGTGTGGCAGTCAGCCTTGTGTAGTCAGGGTGACCTCGAATGGCAGGTCCAAGTGTGCTCTTGGACTAGTGATAACGCTTTGAGACGTGGTGTTCTGGTGACTTCCAGTTCAAGCAATCTCAGCTGAAGGCAACTCATCTTTTTAGCCAAGCCTGATCAGAAGTTTTTAGCATGTGTATTGATTTGGCGTTCAGCATCCTGTGATTACAGTAGGTTCTCTGTTGTGTAACACTCCCTGCTGGCAGCTGGCAATACCGCTTGTCACTGCTGCTATGAATGAGTAGTGAAAATGTTGATTAGCTATGCAATAACATGAATTAAGGTATCTTCAATTCTCTTTTAGGTCCATGAAAAATGTGATGACCTGGGTAGAGGGGGAGATAATGAGAGCAAAGTAACTGGAAATGCTGGACCTCGTTTAGCTTGTGGTGTAATTGGAATAGCAAAGAGCTAAGTATTGTATGTGAAATGCTTAAGATGAGTGGTAAATGGGCTGTATTTCATTGCAAGTGCTGTACTTGCCCTTCCTTGTGCAAGCAAAAGATTTATCACTTAATCTCATTACTACTCTGCGTTCTGACTATCACTTAAACTGGTGAAGACTGATTTAATTTTGTATGATGTATATTGCAATTAAAGTGACCCTGATGGAATGTCTTTGTAGTCTTCTGCTAAAGCATCTGCTGTAACCATTAAGTGTAGCTTTACTAACTTTAACTCCCGTTCTGTGTAATGGAAGATGTGTGGTAGTGATCACATCCCGAACACCAAAACCTCTGGCACACTGTGGATTTGGAGGATTAGCCTTACGAGCTGTAGCAAGACTGCTCAACAAAGAGCAGTAGGCACTGGATGGATTGGGGCTTCCTCCTGGCAAAGTTGCAGCATTTGTAGGTTTCAAACTTGTGTAATAAACTTGCTGGGCAAATACACCTTTGTCTTGCTGTCTATAAAAAAAACCAAACCCAGACCCCATACCCCTACCTGCTGGCTTGCCCACACGGAAAGGCAGGGCTGGACTTCATGGTGTCAGCAGTGAATGTGGTGTGGACACCAACAGCATCCACCCAGCTGCTGCCAGCCAGTTGCCCCAGAGCAGGCAGGACCTGAGCTCAGCCAGCCTGTTTGTTGCTGCTTGCGCTGACCTGTGGCCTCCTCTGGCAGGATCCCGTGGTCTGGGGTAAGAACCTGACACCCTCTGCATGTTGTGGCCCAGGGACGACTGCTGCTTTGCAGAAATGCCACCTCAACTGTGTGTGAGGCATGTGGCTGCTGGCTGTATGTGTGTGGGGGCGAAGCCTTCAGCGCCTGGAATGGTCTGGCTCTGACATGTGGCCTTGTGCCTTGTCTGGGCCTCTGGCTGTGTGGGTCAGACTGCTCCGGGCTGGTGTGTGGTGGGAGTCTGGATGTGTTGGTGAAGATGGCTCCTTCCTCTGAGCTGTGCGGGAGCATCTGCTGTGGAACAGGCCTTTGCTTGAGAAGGATACACACAGACAGAAGTTCCGTACTTAATTTCATCTGGCTTTTCAGCAGTGTAATCGCAGTATTGCTAGTGCAAGCTTTCATTGTTTTCTGGTGTCTTAAACGCAGATTTCCAAGTCTTTCAATAAAGAAAATTACTAATTTTAATGAAGACCTGTATCAGCATTCCTTTATCTTGTACGTAAGAGATATTCACAGAAGTAGCTGGTTGTAGTTCTAGGCATCTGCATTCCAGTGTAGCACATTACAAACACAGTGGCTTCTGGTAGCATGGTGAGGACACTGCGAAAGCACTTTAAACTTGCTTTTATTGTAGGTGGCAAGCAATGGTGTGCACAGTCTCGACCCATCTGTACCTTTTCCCATGGATTAGTCTGTGCTCTGATTCGCTGCTGCAGATGGTGACTGCACCTCTCAGCTCCCCCCTTAAGCACTGGAGGAGGCAGAACGCAGCACCCACAAATGCCACCATTGCGTCTTCGCATTTTACAAGTTGCGAAGACTCTCACGAAGGCGCCTCCCTGTTCCCTAAGGGTGAAAAGGGCAAATGCTTGTCTGACACCGGTGGAGCTGTAGCAGGGCGAGGGCTCTGGCAGCTCTCCTCGCCCAGCCCTCCTCGGTGCTGGCCTGGCTGCCTTGGCAGCCTGGGATATGCTGATCCTGACCCACCTCACCTGTTTTCTCTTGCTGGGTTCAAGGCCTGGCGGCGCGCTAGCCTGGAAGCTAATGTTGTATTGAAGGATGTGCAAGTAATGCTTGGTTTATGTACAAACAGATCATTGTAACTGGGAGGCATTGGCTCAGCAATGGAGGTACAAATTGCCAGCACTGTATTGCCTTTATTAGTAATGGATGCTTACGCTGAGCTAATTAATCTTCCAGTATGAATTTGTGGCTTATTTTACAGCCAGGAACTTGGTCGCTGTGGAAGGGTAAGACACTGTTAGTCTGGAGATGCTGCAAAGAGGGCGCATCGCCAGCAGGGTCACTGAACAACTACTGCTTGGAGGGCGGTAAGAAACTGTTCTGCAAAGCATGTCCAAAGTTTTCCTGCACTTTGTTTTCAGCTTCCTAAAAAGGAATGGAGAGAATGCGAGGTGGCATTTGTGTGAACAGATAACCCTTCCATCTCTTTCATGCTTGTCTTCAAATGTTTTAATAACATGTATTCATTAAAAAAAAAAAAATCCTACCTCCTTACAGAACCATGGTAGTTTTCACTAAAACAAGTCTTAAACAGACGTGTCTGGCTTTGTATGAAAAAAGTTAGTTCCACTTGCCCAGCATAAAACAAAACATTAAGGACACAGGTTTAACACATGGAAGCCGAGTTCACTACAAGTATGTAAACAGGTTTTTTTCTCTCTTTATTCTGCTATTGCAAGAACATAAAAATATAGGTCCTCTCCCCAGTCCGTAAGTCCACGTTTGCTTACCCAGCCCTCCTTCCAACCCCTCCCCCCCCGAAAAAACCCCTGTGCCGCAGAGCAGCTATGAAAAAGTACTGACGTAAGAAAGCAGCTGCCCTTCGCTTAGGGGAAAAACCCAACTTTAAAAGTAGAACACACCTATAGCAAGGAGGAAAAAAAAAATTAAATATGCACAGGATTCATACAATTTTTCCACTACACTTCTAGAGTTAAAACAAGTTTTGGCTGCGGGCCCGGTGCTGCCCGGGCGATTGGTGAGCGAGCGCGGTCAGGGGCAGAACTGCCGGGGCTCTTGCTCTGCTCCGTACACCGCAGCCGTCTTTTGAAACCGCTCGCGCCTGAAGGGCCGGCCACCAAGAACCGGTGTTTGCCCCCTTCAAAGTACGTACGTGACACGGAGAGAAGATGGTGAAACTTACACAAACACAAGAAAACGCGTTCTTTGTCCATCAGTCCAATAGGCACAACACCAGGTGGGTAAAATCTTCCACCTACCTCTTGCGGGACTACAGGAGGTAGACATCGTTAACACAGACAGCGGCAGCAGCCCAGACTTGTGCGAGCGAAGAGGCAGCGTTTTAATACAATTTTTCCACTACACTTCTAGAGTTAAAACAAGTTTTGGCTGCGGGCCCGGTGCTGCCCGGGCGATTGGTGAGCGAGCGCGGTCAGGGGCAGAACTGCCGGGGCTCTTGCTCTGCTCCGTACACCGCAGCCGTCTTTTGAAACCGCTCGCGCCTGAAGGGCCGGCCACCAAGAACCGGTGTTTGCCCCCTTCAAAGTACGTACGTGACACGGAGAGAAGATGGTGAAACTTACACAAACACAAGAAAACGCGTTCTTTGTCCATCAGTCCAATAGGCACAACACCAGGTGGGTAAAATCTTCCACCTACCTCTTGCGGGACTACAGGAGGTAGACATCGTTAACACAGACAGCGGCAGCAGCCCAGACTTGTGCGAGCGAAGAGGCAGCGTTTTAAAATCCTCCGGCACCCTCCCGCCTCCCTTCCTGTTCTCAGCCCCATTTAAAAAAAAAATAGGTTAACGTTTTAAATTGTGTTTTGGTGTCTTTGATTTCTCTCTCACCCTGCTTTCCCAAAACCATCAGTGAATAACAAGTACAAAAGACGCTGAGCTGGTGTGCTCCCCAGCCCACCACAGACAGTAATTTTATAACATCACAAGCAGAGCAGACCAAGTACGTCTGAAGGCGTCCACTTTTTTTAAAAAGGCAAATTAGGGCAATGTTTACCACAGAACCAGTTGGAGGGGGAGGAAAAAGAAAAAAAAAAGAAAAACAGAAAGAAAAACCTGATTGCATTGCAAACACTAAACAGTGAACTAGTCAATTAACATTTTAAAACCACTAACTTTTACCTAGTATGGTCAAGTAGATCATTAAAATGCAGCGATCTAAAAATCAAGATGACTATTACAAATAAAAATTTGCTTCTGTGAATAGCTACACAAACAGATGTACTTCTTTTAACAAATATAAACAAAACAGTCTAATTTAGACTCCATTACAGCATTAACAGTTCAAACTTTTAAGATGTTGAACGCTCCTTTTCCGCTTCAGTGCAGTGTAGGAAGAATAGCACACGTTAAAGTTTGTTACGAAAATAGAGTTTATTAAAAACACATCCCTATTGTTTTGAGGCGCTTTCACCGTTACCTTTTCTTAAATTAAAAAAAAAAAATAGAAAGCACTTCTACTTCTGATTTGTAAACTTTTTAAAGTCAAAACTTTAAAAAAGTTACAGCAAAAATGGGTAATATTTTAATCATATCTTCAGCATCTCATGTTATGTTGTGGCTATTTTAAATAGAAGGGAAGCAATCAAATTGCTTACAATTCCCCACCAACTACCGAGGGGCTGCGGTATAAGCAGAAGCGCGTATGATACAGCAGACTGTACAACTCTAAAGCTCTACGCTCCGACAAATGTCACTGTCGTCTTTCGACAACTGCCAGTCTCTAGCGAGGAGCCTCCGCCGCTGAGCCCAGATCCTTGTCCGCCTGCTCCGCAGATGAGGTAGCCTCGGGCGCCAGCTCTCCGCAAGGCTGGGCGGCCCCCGGGTTCAGCCTCTCCCGCAGCAAGTTCGGAAACAATGTCTGCGTCTTCCATTTTGCCGCTATGAGACTCGTGGTTTTTGTCGCCGTCTGCCATCTCCAGCTTCTCCTTCCCTCGATTCTCCTCCTTGTCTCTGCGAGACTCCCTGTCTCGCGAATCTCTGTCTCGATGGCCACTGGACCGCCTGGTTCTGTCCTCCAAGTCCCTGTGTCTGTCGCGCTCGGGGCTTCGTCTTCCCCAGTCTCGCCTGTCACGATTACCAAGGCGCTCGTGGTCTCGGTCATCGTTACGGTTGCCGTAGCGCTCACGATCGTTCTCTACCCGATTTCCAAAAGATCGCCGGCCAAACCTCTCCTGGTCTCTGTTAGGCGTGAACGTCTGCCGGTCGTTCCTGAACTGCCTCCCGTCCCTGTTGTTATCCTCGGGCCCGCCTGGCGCCCCGCTCCCCGGCATCCCCCCAGGTCTCACAAAGTGACCCGGC